CAGTGGTTGTGGCTCCCGGGCTCAGTGGTTGTGACTCGCGGGCTCTAGCGCGCAGGCTCAGTAGTTGTGGCGCACGGGCTTAGTTGCTCTGCGGCATGTGGGATCTTCCCGGACCAGGGCTCGAACCCGTGACCCCCTGCACTGGCGGCGGATTCTTAACCACTGCACCACCAGGGAAGTTCCAAGTTCTTTCTTTTTTAAAGACCTTTTCCTTTTTTTTCTTATGCCAATTTGGGTTTCTGTACGGGAGTCATTTTATGGTTTCGCAGCCGCTGCCCCTGGTTTGCACTTTGTTTCCTGACAGCAAGTACCTCCAGCTGGGTTCCCTCTGCCCAGGAGCCTCTGTACTGGTGCTCAGCTGCTGGGCCCTGAGTCCCTTACACACCTGGGGGTTTGCAGTGAGGACCCCACAGTAAACTTCACTGAACTTTTACCGAAAAGTAACTATTTTATAAGAGAAAACAGAAGTTTAGTGAGAAGAGTGGCATTGTTTCATATAGCTGCAGCTCTTTCTAATACCTGGCACCTTTACTCCGTTTGTTGCGTTCTGCAGTTTTGCTCAAAGTGTGTGAAAACGATCCAGCCTCTCACAGACATGTATAGGGAACAGGGAGTCGCCTGGGAGCCTCCACGTGAGGGTGGGTTCTCCTCCGACTGGACTCGGGGGATCTGAAGACCCTGGGGGCTCCCTTGTGAAGCACTGGTCCCCTGAGGTGTGTGGGTCTCCCAAATGTGGGCGGTCCATGATCACCACCAACCTCATTTGACCCGTCTTCAGGCTGGGTGCTAGGAAGCTAATGGAAGGGATACAGGTTTCCCAGAATTCATGTGAGAGCTCAGATTTTGTTGCTGTGGCCTCAACTCCTGTTAGTTTTACTTGAAGCCATGGCCTCAGTTTGTTCATGTTTGAGAAAACACCTACCGGTCCTTAATAATCACAGTTTGTCTGAGAGAGTCTTTCAAGTAGCAGTTGTGCCCCATGAAAGCGCAGCCGGTGTGGCCACAGCCCCGCCGCAGGGGCTTTTCCAGAGCCCAGTGCAGTCCCGCCAGCCCCACCGTCCGTCTGCTCAGAGTGTCGGGAGGGCAGGGAGTAGGGTTTGCAGAGGGACAGAGTGGACGATGTTTGCTGCTTTATCGAGGCAGCGCTAGGGACGCCGGCTGGCTCACCGCGGTCACGTGACAGCGGGTGCTGGGCCACACCAGCTGGAGAGGGCTTGGGGCGTCCTGGGGCCCTCGGGTGACACCGATAGGCCACAGTGTCCCTTGTGGAGCCCACGATAGTGCTCTGGGTGCGGTCTCTGTCCAGGGAGACCTTACTTCTGGACACAGAAATTCTAATTCCATGCAGTTTTTCTGGTTTACAAAATATTAGTCTTGATTTTCTGGCCCCCAAGGATTTAAATTCAAACCATTCTTGGAGCTCAGCTCTGACCCCGCAGGAGAGGCTTGGGCTGTGCCTGCGGCTGCCCTTGCCTGTGGGTGGGGGCAACCCCCCACCCACAGGCTCGAAGGACGGGGAGGGGCAGGGGGACTTTTCTGCAGGCTTGGAAGTGCCTTTCTTTGGTGTTACCCTGGTTGCCAGTGTGGCTACATTTGGTGTTTTGAGTCTGGAAATCGTTTTTCGGGACCGTTGCCGCGCTGTGTCCGCGTCCCCTGCACAGAGGCCCCCGTGCGGGAGAGGCGGGGCTCAGTGGGCTCCTGCCCTTTGGCTGGGGTCCTGTCCTGGGCCATTGTCTCTGGTTCCTCCTCGGGCAGCGTCTTTGCCTTGCTGTGACAGTGGGCTTTCTGGATCGCTTCTCTAGGACTTAGCGTATTCTCTCGTTTTAAAATTTGTGAGTCTTTTCTTCTGTCTCTGAATTTTTCTAGACTCTTTTGAAGCCAAGGTTGCTACTGACTCGGTCTCTTTCTAGCCCCTGTTCACCCTGCTCTTGTGTGTGTTTGTCCCTCCGGGCCCTGCTCTGAGCCTCCCTCCCAGCTGCCTTCTCTGCCCCTGTGGTCGCAGCTTGCGGGGACGAGGCCGCTGGGGTGGGGGTGGCTGGCACAGGTCGGCAGGCGGTGGGCCCTCGTCCCGCCCCATTGCGCCTTCCCTCCTGGAGCTGCGGGGCCGGGCTCTCCCTGTCCGTGGATTTGGGGCCCACGGTGCTGTGGCCTTTTCCACTCAGGTTCCAGCTTTGATCCCCACGAGGCCAGTAAAGTTGCATTCAGGTTCCCCCTCGTGTCTTGCTTTTAGCTTGTCACTCGCAAAGGCAGGAGTTTGCTGAACGGCGGGTGTGGCAGGGGTGCAGCCACCCACCTACCTCAGGGTTAGTTTGGAGGGAGCCTCTCCCCCCGAGAGTTGCGCCTCTTGCCCACGGAGAGGGACTCGCAGGGCCGAGTTGTGTCGGGAAGGAGGAGGGTGCCGTGGTCGGGGCAGTTGCTTGTTGCGGTGCCCACGGGGCTGGGTCTGCCCACGGGCGCTCAGAGCGCCTTTGGGGAGGGACACGCCTCGTTGTGACACGAGGCCTCTTGACAAGGATGTCTGTCCTGCCAGCCCCTGTGAATGGACGTGTCCCTGGGCCCAGGACAGGCAGGCGGGAAGGAGAGGCTGCCCAGCGGAGGGGCGCAGGGTGGTGTGGAGCCCGAGGGACTGGGCAGCCTCAGGGAGGGTCCCGCTGGGCACGTAGGGGAGAGGACCCTGTGAGACCGGGACACAGCTGGGGCGGACCTGGGCCCATCGAGCCCTGTCCCTCCTCAGGAATGAGTGGAGACCTGGCACTCGGGGCCAGCTGCCAACACAGATGTCCTGGTGAGGCGCAGGCCTCCTCCGTCAGCTAGTGGATTGCGCCCAAAATGACGGCAGTGGCGAGTGTCTCCTGGTGGCAGGGACGTGCCAGATCCCGGGTCGGAGACGTGCACGCGGGTGTATGTTGAAATTTCACGCCGACGACAGCAGTGGAGCAGGAGGCGCTAGAGGAGCCGCAGGGTCTGCCGGTGTTTCCAGAAGCTGGGGGTGCACCTGGGGGGGCCGCCGTGGGCGCCGAGGCCCTGGAGGAGCGGGCCCCCCTCTTGCCCCCAGCCTCTGGGCAGCTCGTGCAGGGCTTCCCAGGAAAGGCCAGAGCCGCCGCGGGGCACTTGGCCACATCAGCTTTTGAGGCCTGGGCCGGCCCTCCACGCGCCCTCCTGGTTTGGACGCGGCAAGGTCGGGGTCCGGGACTCGTGGGTCTGCCCGGCGTGCGCTGCCTGGCTCCACACACTCGGGGCTTCGCGTCTGGGGGCTTCGCGTCTGGGGGCGCGAGCGTCGCACGTCCATGGCTCTTTGGCCTGAGTTTCCATCTTGGGAGCAGGCAGTCAGGAGGTTTTCAAAACTTTAACTTCTGGATAATCTTTAAATTTCTGTGGAAACATTGCTGATGAGTTCCCAGGTAGCCCTGAGATTCAGCAGCTGTCCTGAGTCAGGCTCTGACATGCCATTCCTCAGGCTGAGACAGCCCAGTTTGGTCGTGGAAAACTGGAAGAGAGCTTGGCGTTCACAGTTTCAAGCGCAGATAGGAACCATCATTTCCCGCCGCAGCCACGGGGAGGGAGCGTGTGGAGGCAGAGCCCGGCCCAGCTGCATGGTGCGCTGCAGAGGCGGTGTCAGGAGGTGGCGTGGTCCCTCCACTGACTACAGTTAGATTTGTGTTGGCCAGTGGATAAGCAAGGGGACACGCTGGGAACCTTTGGTCCGTTAACGTGGAAAAGGAGACAGGTTCTCCAGAGGCTGGTGAAGGGCAGGTCGGAGCTGCCACTCCAGAACGCTTCTGAACAGTGTGTTTCCAAAACCATACAGAGTAGAGGCTGTTTAATTCCGGGTGAGCTATTTACAAAACACCTCGTCCAACACGGCAAGGCGCCAGAGGTGTGATTCGGTTTGTGTGAACTGTTCTCCGACCCTGTGAGGAGGACATCTGAGAGGAAGGCTTTCAGGAGGACGGAGCAGACGCCGCACTTTTCCCTGTTCCCTCTGCTGAGTGCAGCACGCACCCCGGATGTGATTTGTGGAGCAAGCACAGGAGGACGGGGGGTGGGGTGGGGGGAGAGCTGTCCACGTCGGGCAGGAGCGGGGCGGGTCAGTGTGGCCACAGGCAGAGACGACTCCACGCACAGGTGCAGAGCGCCTGGCTGTGCCGGCACGGCCACCAGGGAAGCACCGGGCTTGTTGGGAGCAGCAGACAGGATTGAGAGGCGAGTCGGCCAGAGTCTCCACTGGGGTCCATGGGGAAGGCGGTGGGCGGAGTGGACAGTTCCGCAGGCTGTGGGGTGGTCTCTGGTTACGTCGTAGCTGGGATGCGTGTGAGAGGTAGGTGGGGTGGTGGGTGGTTTTGTTGGGGGCTCTTCGCCATTGCCAAGAAAGGGCTGACCCTGGTGGGAGGGCGGTCTGTCCCCAGAAAGCAAACTGAAGATGCCAAAACATAAAATACAGAAAACACGATAACCACAGCATGTGTCCTGGGAAATGCAGGGGCCAAGGCCTCAGACCCACGTGCAGGAGTGGGCACCAAGCTGCCTGACACCCTCCGGGCGTTCCCCAGTGGTGTCACCTTCTGGACATTTTACTTGCGGGAGTTGGGGAGTTCGGGGTGCTGGGTGCTTTCTGAGTGGCAGAGTAGCCCTCATCCTGACCTTCTGTTGGGGGTGGGGGCAGGGGGCTGTTTTGCAGGTGACGGCAGGTGGCCGAGAGGGTGGTGGGCGTGATCCCCTGGACCTCGAGGTGTGACCCTGCCCGTGGGCAGAGGGTGCTGCCGCCGAGCATGTGTGGCGCCTGACCCCTGGAGCAGGGCCCCGCGTGCACCCCGGGGTTCTGCTGTTCTCCCTCGTGGAGCGTAGACGTGCCGCTGCCAGGGCTGCCTGCCGGGCCGGTGCATCAGGAGCGGCCCCTTCAGAAGGCTGCTGCGTCCATGCATCGTGCATCACCGACTGGAGGCACCTGGGTTTCATGTGGGGTCACTGGACCTTAACCCCGTGTCCTCTGTTTTTAAGCAGACGGTTGACGATGAAGCGATGGCGGCGTGAATGAAGGCCTGGTGAGGAGGAAACGATGCCCAAGGGTGGGTGTTCTAGAACCCCACAGCAGGAGGAGCGTTCCCTGAGCAGCGACATGGTGGAGAAGCAGCCCGGGAAAAAGGTGAGCTCGTCCGCCCCCACCACTCCGCGTGGGCCCCGTCCGGGCCTGGGGGAGGGCTGGGGGTGCCGCTGTTGCTTGTCCCTCTGCAGTGGGCGACGTCTGTGCCGGGAGGCCCTCTTTGGGCGGCAGTGGAGGAACTGCTGTGCTGGGTGGCTGTGGAGGACACGTCTGGCTTTTTTTAAGGATGTTTGTTATTCGGGGGCCAAAGCGGAGCTTTAACCACTAGGTCCGTGGACAGAAATTGCTGTCTGAGAGAACCCCAGTTCGGCCCCACGGTCTGTCCCTCAGGACCATGGGTTCCTGCCATATGGTTGCTGGCAGACCGAATCTGACGGTAGCTGTGCGAGTGGTCCTGACTTGAAATGCTGCTGGTTAATTGTACTCCCCGTTTGCTTGTTGCCAATGTGAATAGGAAAATGGGTTGTAAATCTGCATCGTGTCCTGTTAATGTGCTGGTGCCCTGGGCTCGGGGGTGTGTGCTGTGTGCTCCACAAGCTGTGACAGTCACCCAGTGTTCCCTCCAGACTGTTCTTAGAGGGACCCCCAGGCTGGTCTGTAGGAGTTACAGACACACAGGCTTCCTGAGGGAGGGCCCACTTGCAAAGGTGGCCTCGCCCGTGCTCTGCGTGGGGTGCTGTGGCCTGTGCCCGGCCCCCCCTTGATCCAGGAGGAGGACGTTCAGAGAAGCCCTCAGTGTGGAAGCTGGGTGTGGCTCGTTGCTGCTTTGTCCCGTGGTTTGTCCCCTGCTTTGTCCCGAGCAGGTCTGGGAAGAGGCCTCGGGCTCCCTGCTCCTCCCAGCGCTGGGAAACTCTGGGAGCGCTGGTTCCCGGAATCCCAGAGGAATCCACCGAGGAGAGAGTAGGAGGCTGTGTCCAAATGCTGAATTCACAGGAAGGGTGGCAGGGGTCCATGGATGCAAAGCCCCTGGGAGCCCCCGCTCCTCTCGGGGCTCCAGACAGGCCTTCTGGTGGCAGCGAAGGGGTCGGGGTACTGCCGTCCCAGGTGGACTCCTGCGGTCCCGGTGACGCTGGGGATTGCAGAGAGCGAGATAGAGAAAAAGGCCCGAGGGACAAGCTGTGCCTGGCTGAGGAGCCAGCCCCGCGCCCTGCCCCACTGTCTGCGGGATGCCGGCTGAAGCACACGCCACCCGCTGCGACCCCCTCCCCTCCACAGGGCAGTGCTGTCCACCCTGGATGCTCACCGGACATGGCTGTGTGACACCACAGGTGTCCACGCAGGTTTCGCAGGAGAGGGACGGGTCAGGCCTTGAGAGAGAGGAGCACCCTGACTGGAGCGGGGAGGGCAGCTGCGTTCCCCCAGACAACAGGGCCGTCTGTGGAGGAGGCCCAGGAGGTGTGCGTGGAAGCGGTGGGGCGCGAGGCCTGCGGAGCGAGGCTGTGGCCAGAGCAGCGTGCAGGGGGCCTTTTCTGAGTGCTGTCAGCCAGCGGTCGGGCGTGGAAGTTTAAAAACACATGTGTGGTAGAGTGGCATCAAAGCTACAGACTCTAGGGCTTCCCTGATGGCACAGTGGTTGAGAGTCCGCCTGCCGATGCAGGGGACACGGGTTCGTGCCCCGGTCCAGGAGGATCCCACATGCCGCGGAGCGGCTGGGCCCTTGAGCCATGGCCGCTGAGCCTGCGCGTCCGGAGCCTGTGCTGCGCAACGGGAGAGGTCACAACAGTGAGAGGCCCGCGTACCGCTAAAAAAAGGCTACAGACTGTTTAGGGATTAATTTGATGAAAGATGTGCACCCTGAAACCTGCAGAACTTTACTGTGGGAAATTGAGGCAGATCTGAGCCGCTGAAGAGGAGCAGATAGAGTCCTCATTCCTACTGGCTTCTGTCGTTGTTGGTCATTTACAGATGAGACTCAGTTAATCATAGTCGAGGTGGTTCCAGGGCAGGTGTGTGGGGTGCGGGTTAAGAGCCAGCCCTGGTCTCTCTGTACGTGGTGTGTGGGAGCTGACTAAGCATCCGTGGGGGACACTGGTTGCTGGGCCACAGGCTGCGCTTGTTTCCCTGCCCCGGCAGTTTTCAGGGTGTGCCAGGGTCTGACACGGAGGTTGAACTGATAGAGGTTGAACCTGATAGAGGTCGAACCTGACGTCTAGACATCCTTTTAGCATTGAGGAAGTAAACGCACTGTGGAGTGTGCACGGTTGGTCCCTGTGACGATGCCTGGGTGCTAGTGAGGGAGGCTCAGCGAGGTGTGCCCTGCTCTGCTCTGGCTGAGGGTTCAGAGCTTTCCGTGAGCACTTTTAGTGAAGGAGAAATGCACATTTCCTTTCTAGAACCTGGAAGCACGATGATCCAGACCAGGCTCTCGGGACACCCCCCTCCCCCACAAGCAGTCCCCACGGTAACACCCTGCCCCCACCCACAGGGGATGCGGACTCATGGTGGGGATCTCTGCTTCCTTCCGATGGACAGGCCCTTGCTGTTGGAAGGAGGCTCTTCCTCTGTGGCTGTGTGGTGTCCATCGGATGGACGTTCAAGCAGCTTCTCTGCCGATTCCTGTGCTGATACATATCTGGGTTCTTTCCAGTCCAGGCGTGATGTGAACATACATACATTGGGGTTTTTCTATGGAGGCAGCAGATAGGGTTTAACAGTTCGTCAAAGTGACTGCACAGTTCTGCACCCCCAAAGCCTAGGTCAGGTGGACCCATCCGTGCTAACACTTGGTGATGTCAGTTTACTTTGCTTTTTTCTGGCATCTACTGTCTCCTATACCGTGCTCTACAAAGCTCTCCGTCTGTGATCCATCTGGACTCATTTTTTGTTTTGTGCTGTAAGGGAGGGTCAAGGTTTATTTTCTTCCCGGTGGATGTCCACATGGTCATTGTCGCTAGGAAGACTGTCCTTTCCTGCTGGGTTGTAGTGGAGCCCTTGTCACCAATCAGGTGGGCCTCAGCTTCTGCTCTTTGCTCTGAACCTTTGGCCCTTGGGTCCAGGACCACCTGTTGTGACTCTGTAATTGTACAGTCTTGATACCTGGCAGGTTAATCTGCACATCTTCATTGTTCTTCTGAATTGTCCTTGCTACCTTTGACCCTCTGCATTTCCACGTACATTCTGGAAAAAGCTGGTTGATCTCCACGCAAAGCCTGCTGGGTTTTGATTGGATTGCTTTGAATGTAAAGATGAGTTTGGGGAGATATGCTGTGCCTGCATTTTTATCAGTCTAATTTCTGTTCTCTCAGTAATGTTTGTAATTGTGTATGTAGAGGACTTGAACACCTTTTGTTAGATTCATTCCTAGGTATTTAATGTCTTTCGATATAAATATGTAATATTTCAGTATGATTTCCTAAGGGTTTATAGTATATAGAAACCAATCACTTTCTGTGTGATTGAGCTTCTCATTCACTTATTAATTTGAAGAGTTTAATTGTAAATTCCTCTGGATTTTCTCCTGTGTAAAATCACAGCATCGTAAGATGAATACTCCTTGTTATCCCTCAGGAGGAAGAGGGGGGTGGGGCTGGCCCGGTCTGACCGTGGAGGAGACGCCCCCCTGAGGCATGTTGTCACGGTGGGGCACAGCCCACCCGCATCTTCCCACAGCTGTGGAGCGTTCCGTCTGCGGCTGCACCAGAGCGGACGCACCCATTTGCCTTTTGATGGGCAGCTGCTCTTTCTTTTACTGTTATGAACAAAACTGTGAGTTTGTGTGGCACGCCACTCACTCCCCGGACTTTGTTAGAAACTCTTGAGTGGCCCCAAGCAGCGTCCGAGGCCCACTGCTCTGCCGGTCCAGTCAGCGATTCTTGTGGGAGTACTGGTGTTGCCTCCTGGTTTTAATTTGCGTTTTCCCAACGCCGAACACCTTTCCAAACATTAACTGGCTGTATGGATATTTTTTTCTGAGAAGTGCGTGTTCAGATCTTTTGCTCATTAAATAAAAGGTTTAGTTTTTCCGTAGATGTGGTGAGTATAGGCATTCCTGCCTTGAACCCCCTCTCGGGGGTGGCACCCAATCTTCTGCACCAAACCTGTGTCAGGTGGGGGACGTCCCTCCCCACAGTGTGCTGGGAGTTGGTCTCAGGACCTCAGGGCTTTTCTGCAGCTGTGGAGATGATCATAATTTTCCATCCTTTTTTTTAAAAAAAGCATTTTTAAAATATTCATTTGGCTGCGCTGGCTCTTAGTTGCAGCATGTGAACTCTTAGTTGCGGCATGTGGGATCTAGTTCCCTGACCAAGGATCGAAGCTGGGCCCCCTGTATTGGGAGCGTGGAGTCTTAGCCACTGGACCACCAGGGAAGTCCCCGTCCTTTATTTTCTTAGTGTGGTGAACTACATTGATTTTTTAATGTCTTGCATTTCTGAATACGTTGTTATTGTGATTTGTGTTATCTTTTTTTGTGTCTGTCGATCAGATTAACCAGCTGGACCGGGATTTTTTTCGGTGGCAAGTTGCTTATTACAGTTTGGGGCTGTCACTGGTGGGTGCTGTTCTCCTGGCAGGGGTGGCGGGGGTGGGGGAGGTGCGTGCAGGTGGTGACAAGCGGGCCTGTGTCCTGGTGCCCCTGGCACCGGCTCGGCCGAGGCTCGGGCTCTGCCTGCTGGTCCCTCTTCGCGCTCCAGGTGCCCTCGGAGCTGGCGGGGTGTTGTGGTGGGGCCTCCCTGGTCACCCAAGGGTGTCTCGTTGCCTGCTGAGACTGGACGGCACGGCGTGGCAGTCAAGTGGAGGACTCTCAGGGCCCTGGGAGACAGGACTCGCGCCGCTCAGGATTGGGCGTCCCCTCCCAGGAGCACCCGATGCACCAGTGCCGTGAGGGCTGCTGTGAGGGCCGTGTGTTTGCCTCCGCCTCCCCGGGGTGGATTCCAGAAAGTAAGCCTGCTGCTGGAGAAGGGGCCGCCTGGCGGTAGCAGTGCCGTCCTCCATGTCAGCAACGCAGATTGGCTGGCCCATGCGGTGCACTGTGGGCAGACGAGCCGGGGCGCTGGTTAGCCTGAGGCTCTGCTGAGCGCCCCCACCCCACCCTCAGGGCTCTGCGTGCTGCCCTTTCTGTGCGGGGCGTGTCACATCCCGAGCCCCCCCCCCCGGTGGCGCTTCCCCCTGTTCTGCAGACGGTGGCAGGCGAGGCAGATGCCCGGCAGGACTCCCAGGTTGAGGCTGGAGTTCGGGCTCCTGGGTCCTTACAGGTCAGCAGGGCCGGGAGCGATGGCCACAGCTGACCGCCCTCCAGCCAGCTCCTGCTCTGGGCTGGGTCGCCTGCCCTGGGCTCTGCTCCGGGGCTGCTGCGGCTGCAAGATCCGTCCCAAAGACGGCCCTGCAGTGTCACAGGCCTGTGGTGGCCAGAGGTGGCTCAGGCCCAGGGCAGGCGAGGGACGACACGCTGGAGGGGAGCCAGCATCTCAGGGCAGACATACTCTCCCGTTCGGTGCGAGGCCGGGCCCCTTTGTTCACGGTCGCGGGGAGAGTTCCCAGTGGAGGGCGGGCTCTGTTTGTCAGCAGAGGCCCCTCTGAAGGTGCGTTTTCCCCGTTACTGAGTCCATCTCTGGGAACATGAGGCAGGAGGCAGCGAGAGGTGGCAGGGCCGTGGGTGCCTCTGAGCCTGGTGGGCAGGAGGGGTGTCCATTGCCCAAATAAGAGACTTGCTTTCCTGGCACGTGAAGTCCTGGTAGACCTGAGGACTTTGAGAGTCTAACTTGGGGCCAACGTCTGAAAGCGTCACTCTCTCTTCCAGGATAAAGATAAAGTTTCTCTAACCAAGACCCCAAAGCTGGACCGCACTGATGGCGGGAAGGAGGTGAGAGAGCGAACGACCAAGCGGAAGCTGCCCTTCACTGTGGGCGCCAATGGAGAGCAGAAGGACTCGGACACAGGTACCCACCCGCCCCCCGGCGCCCCAGTCCTGCCGCACGGACCCGGGAGGGGCTGACTCACAGCTGACAGGGCAGATTCCCAGGCAGAGGATTCCCGCAAGTGTGCACAGAAGCCACGTTCCCCCAGCCCCATCCTGCCCAGGGGCCTCCCATGCGTGTGAGCACGGTCTCCTCTCCCTCAAGGAGAGCCTCTGGAGAACTTCACATGGGAGGATAAACGTGTTTCCCCTCAGGGCTGCAGAAGCACATAAATTAGACCCAGTTGTTTGAAATGGAGGCCAAAGGGAGCTGTGAGAATGAGCAGGAGGCACGCAGTCCCCCTGCGCGTGCGCTGCGGGTGTGCTGCTCACCACCATGTGGTGCGCATGCATTCAGGTTGGTTCCATCCGAGCTGCCTGCAGGGACACGTGCTGGGTCCAGGCAAGAACCCGGCCCCTTTGCCAGCCGGCTCACACCCCTCCTCTTGGTCCTGCTGTCCTGGGCCTTCCCCGCCTGCCGGTCATCTGACTGCAGACCCCCAAAGCCAGGGGCAGGTGTGGGGTGGATCTGCAGAGCCGCGAAGGGGCCTGGGTCCCCCAGGATGCAGCCACGGGGGAAGGAGCAGAGGTCCTGCCAGGATCGGGCGGAGGGCAGGGGGCTTTGCTGCACGTGAGGGTTTGTGTCAGGTCTCAGGAAAATGGCAGGTACAGGAATGAGATAAATGTGAGAGGGAGAAATGGCAGGGGGAACAGCCTGGAATGAACGTCTTCACTCACAATGCCTCCTGCACGGGGCGACCCCCAGGCGGGTGCGCCCCGGGCCCGCAGCCACTGAGCAGAGACCTGGGGTAGTTGCAGGCTGGTGAAGCAGGTTGGCGGGGTTGGTGGTGCCGGCTGGGGTATGGCTGAGGTCCGGGGCAGGCGGCTCGACCTCCGCGGGGTCCTCCACAAAGGGAGGGGTTGGGCCGGGGAGGAGGGCAGAGGAGGTGGGAGTCCTCGCAGGGACCCTGTGCCTCGGGCTCTGGGTGCAGAAGAGACAGGCCCAGCTCAGGCTTGGGTGCCCGAGCCAGCTCTGGTACTGGAGGGCGTGGTGTCACTGTTGGGTGCGGCTTCCTGGGTGCTGGGGGCCTGCAGGTCGGTGTCGTCCTCTGGGATGTCCCTGCCCGAGCACAGGCGGGCGCGGCGTCCTCGGGGGTGTCTGCGGGGTGCTGGCCGTGAAGGCGGCCTCCAGCAGGCCTGGGGGACGGTTGGCGTCTCAGCACAAGGCGCCAGGCAGGTGGGAAACTGAAGAACGTTTTGCAAGTGGGATTTTCCAGGCGGGGACAAAGTCTGAATACATGGAAAGTACAGCCTTTGTCCTCTTACTGTTGATTGTTTATCCCTTTGGGGGCCAGTTTTACTGTACCATCGACCCTTGAACAGCACGGGTGTGAGCTGCATGGCTTCGCTTATGTGCCGGTTTTTTTCAGTGGTACACAGTGTGGTGGTGGTGGGGGGGCCTTCGACTGGGTGACTGTGTCCTGCCCATCCCCCCCCCGCCCCCGGGGTTCAGGGGCCGACCGTGCAGCTTTCTTGTACATCTGCTTTGGTCGTGTGGCAGAACTGGTCTCCAGTAACCGGGAGTGTCTCATCCTTCAGGCCAGGACTGGGCACCTCGCCTGCAGCCCTGGTCACTGACCCCTTCCCTGCCCTTCCTGGTGAGCGGCCGCCTGGCCGGGCAGGGTGAAGCTCTTCCTCTGAGAGGCCTCGCTTCCACCAGGTGCCGCCTGCCCGCCCGCCCCAGGGCAGATCAGATGGGGAGGCTCTTGTACAGAAGTGCCAACTCTGGTGAGCGCCGAGCTAGGAAGGCTGAAGGTCCCCGTGTTCCCACGTCCCCTCCCCGCCTGCTGGCTCCTGCCATGTCCCTCCAGCGCCCCCTGCTGGGAAGATGCAGCCTGGCGCTCACGCGACGGTTGCAAGTGGCCCGTAGTTTCTCCGGCTGTGCTCCCTGAGAGGGGGAGGCTGGTGAGCATCCCCCAGAGACCCCCGGGCTCCCTGGGAGCACCCTCCTGTTTCCTGGTCCCCAGGAGGCCCACAGCGCTTAGTCAGGGCTGGGGCGTCCTCCCTGGAGCTCAGGCCACCAGCAGGCGGGCACCTGCAGGCAGGGAGAGGGGCCCCTCCTGCCCGGTGCCAGTCTTGGTGGGACCAGGACCTGCTTCAAGTTATACTCTGCTGTCTGCTTCTTATGTGTTTAACTTCCCCGCAACATGAGTGTACACACACCTCGTGCTGAGGTCCATGTGGTTGAAGCCCTGCAGGCTTCTTGCTCAGTCTGGCAGCAGCCCTCCCGCCTCCCACCTGGAGCCCCCAGGGCCCTGCAGAGCGGGGCCTGTTCTCAGCTCCCAACGTGTCTTTGCTTCTACCTTGTGCTGGCTCTGCAGGGAGGATGTCTGAGCAGCGCACCCGTCTAGGGCTGGGATTTGGGGACAGAGGCGGCGGGCACGCAGCTTCCCTGGTGGGCAGGCCTGTCGGGACTCCTGCTCAAGGCTGCCCTGTGTGCAGGGATTCACTGGTGCTGGGCTCTGAGCACGCCCCCTGCCAAGTGCTGGAGGCCACGTGGGTGACCATGCAGGGGCTTGGCCGCCTGCCAGGCATGACACGCTGTGAGTCGCTGGTTGGGAGGGCACATGCCACCAACACTGTGACCCTGGAGCTCTCGGGACCCCAGAGCGGGCAGAACTGGTGTAAGACGCTGTCCACCTCCATCCCAGGCCAAGTCGAGAGGGCGTGGCTGGGCCCATTTCTCTCTGGTCTGGGTCAGGGTGGCCGCTCCACCCGATGAACTCCCGGGTTTGGGTGTGGGGAGCTTGAGGGGTGGTCGGAGGCCCCCAGGCAGGCTGGGACTAGCGGGATGGATGATGCTGTTCGTGCGTTGCTGGCAGTCTGGATTATGATTTACTGGTTTTGATTTACTGCTGTAGTCAAGTTGGGGTCAGTGGTTGGGAACTCCTGTTGTCCAGGCCCTTTATGCCAACCTCACCTCCGCAGATTCTGGCCTCCTGATCATGGTCACCTGTGGGATGGCTCTGTGGTCGCCCTTACCTGGAGCGGGAGCAGCCACTGCGGGGGGAGTGAGACGTGGGGGGTCCAGCCTGTCCCTCTCAGGCCGGGGACTTGCTGAAGGCCATACAGACTGCTCTTTCTTTAAACGATCAACGCTGGAAATTTTTTTAAAAAGGAAAAGGAGGAGACACAGAGCAGGAAACCAGAAGGGAAGCCGGTTGTCACCACAGCCTGAATGATGGTGCCCATGTGGGTCCAGTGGCGCTTGGAGGGTCGGAGTGTAATGCGGGGAGGACCCCATGCAGCACGTCACCTGACGGGGTATCTGTCACATGTGGACTGTGCCTGGGCCGGCTTCTTGGCCAGAAGCCTGTGTTTGTGACTGATCGTGGAGGTCAGGCCCTGTGTGGTGTGGGAGGTGTGCTCTGAGGCCAAGGGATGGGCCGCTCTTGGGACAGCAGGTCCCAGTGCCGACCACCCACCTCCCGTCAGCCTGCTGTGGGCCGAGCCCTGCAACTTCATGGGAGACCGAGGACCCTCCTCCGCCCACTCCCCACCACAGGACGGAGCCCTGACGATGGTGACATCTGAGGAGAGTCATAGATTTCCCACTTTCGGCAACGTGGTATGCCCTGGCTGTCAGTGACGGGGCTTCTGGTGGCAGTGGACAGGCTGAGGGCAGCCGTGCCCGCCGACACCTCCGGCTGGAAGATGCCATCCTCCAGCCTGGGGGCCGAGAGGGCTCCCCAGGCTGACGCCGTCCTGCCCCCATGGGGCTGGCCCTCCCTGGGCCTCTGTGCGCCTTCCTAGGCCCCAGAGCGGAGACGAGGATTGGACCCAGAGATGGCCACCACAGGAGGAAGACACCCGAGCAGACACAGAACAGCGTCCAGAAGATCAGGCAGGGTTTTCACAATGTAAAACAGAGCATAAGGCAGCGGAAACGATTGCTGAAACAAAGCATTCAGGGGACGGGTTCTAGCGCTTACCGGCTCCACCATGAGCAGGGTGAGTGAGCTGGAAGCTGCTGAA